ATCGGTATAGTCGGTATATACGGAGGGAAAAAGGGACAGAAATTCGTACAAATCAACATGACAGTAATTAATGAATTAAAAAAGGACATTTTGGACTTCCAATGTAATAGAGAATTTTCATGCGTTTTCAGAAGCCGTAAGAAAGGCGAAGCAAAGCCTGATGCCCCTTCCCCCCTCACCTGAACAGTCAATTATGTAGTTGGAAGTGCCCTTCAGAATTACTCATTGACGACTGTAGAAAAAACGACGATGAAGAAAGAACATCCCCCTGAAAATTAGAAGTTTTCGAAAATGTATGCAAGTTTTGGCTCTGAGGGGTCATTTTAGGCCCCCAAAATTCGCAATATTGTTTAAATTGGTAGTTTAAGTAATCGAAGGCTTAAAATATGCATATTTAAGAATCTGAGGCCTTAGATCCAGGAGGAAAATTTTTTTTAAAAAATATGACTGGCCTTGCTATGGATAATTTGGCTACTTTAGCCGAAAAATACCTTTAAATCAACTTTACTTTCCAGTAGTAGTAGTATCCAGGAGTTAGGTTTTTTACAGAATTTTTTTCTTTTTGGCTCAAATGACTGAGTAGACACTCTACTCCAAGAACCTGAAGAGTTTTTGCTTGTGACTCGTCAAAAAATTTAAACTCGTTCCGACTCACTGTGTCTGGGAATGTTCCTCGGTCTCAAGTATCAACTTTTTGGTCCTCCTCCCCCAAAATTTTGAGGGACGGCCCCCCTAAGGGAGGCGGGGGCTAACTTTTTTTTCAAATTGCAATCCTCCTTTTGTGATACCCCATTCGAAAGATAATAAAAAAAAGAAAATTTTTGGCGCAAACCGCAGGTCAAAATGTTGATTTTTGACAAAATGGCGGCTGGTCAAAGTTCAAAATGGTGGAAATTTGGTATCTCCGTTTTTTATCGGCGGATTGGTCTGAAACTCAGAATCCCAGGGGTTTTCGTGACGAGAAAAACGACTATGGTATTAGTTTTCCAGGAAAGTGAGTCCTTTCCAAAATGACGTCTTAGAGCGGGAAGTGGATATTTGGGCTGCCTATCTTTGGATTTGTATGAGACTTGGTATCCGGGGGTATTTCGGCGCGAGGAGAACGAATCTTTTATTGGATTTTTGAAATTTCGAAAATCCTCAAAATGGTGGCGAAAAAATGACGGAGAATCAATATCATGGCTGTTTACCGATGGATTTGCACGAAAGTCGATACTTTGGTGGTTTTTGGCTTGAAAGAATGTATCTCTCATTAGATTCTTCAAATACTAAATACTTTAAAAATGGTGGCGGAAAAATCGGTGTTATGGCCAAGATTCATTATCCTCGAGCAAAAATCCTTCTTGGCAACGAGTTTGATGCAAGTCCATCGATAAATGGCCAAACCGTCGATTTTTCCGCCGCCATTTTTAAAGTATTTAGTATTCAAAGAATCTAATGAGAGATACATTCTTACAAGCCAAAAACCACCAAAGTATCGACTTTCGTGCAAATCCATCGGTAAACAGCCATGATATTGATTCTCCGTCATTTTTTCGCCACCATTTTGAGGATTTTCGAAATTTCAAAAATCCAATAAAAGATTCGTTCTCCTCGCGCCGAAATACCCCCGGATACCAAGTCTCATACAAATTCAACGATAAGCAGCCCAAATATCCACTTCCCGCTCTAAGCCGCCATTTTGGAAAGGACTCACTTTCCTGGAAAACTAATGCCACAGTCGTTTTTCTCGTCACGAAAACCCCTAGGATTCTGAGTTTCAGACCAATCCGCCGATAAAAAACGGAGATACCAAATTTCCACCATTTTGAACTTTGACCAGCCGCCATTTTGTCAAAAATCAACATTTTGACCTGCGGTTTGCGCCAAAAATTTTTCTTTTTTTATTATCTTTCGAATGAGATATCACAAAAGGGGGGTTGCAATTTGCAAAAAAAGTTAGCCCCCGCCTCCCTTAGGGGGGCCGCCCCCAAAAAAAATTTTTGGGGGAGGTCAAAAAGGTTTTTTTTTAGACCGAGGGACATTCCCAAAGTTTCAAACTTCTATCTCAATGAGGAAAAAAGTTACAGGTGTGGTAGGTGACTTTTGGATAACCCTGTATATTCTGTGGCGTCACGTCGCGTCACACCCGCCGCTACAATCAGAGGCCTGACTCAATGCTAAGTAATTGAAACAGAAGCGCGCTCGCTGGCAACGTACGCAACTATTATTTTCTATTGTTTTCCAGAGACTGGCGACGGTTATGTTGCTGCTGGATGTGCTGGACCACTTCCACGTAGGCAATTTTTCATACATCGTCCGTCCACAACTCTCACTTGGCCAATCAGCGGAGTAGTATGGAAATCCCGCTCGCCACGCACGCTCGCGCCAACGTACGCAACTTCTTGCTCACGGCTCAACTTCTGTTTCATTTCTTCCCTATCCAGTCGGGCCTCTAACCTTCCGTACTCTCTGCCACAATCCTTCTTCTACTGGGTTGCCATGTGATAACGCACTCTGCTCCTGCGCCAGGTTACATTCGGCGTCAAAGCTCTTCATTCTTGGAGTCGCCAAGTTTCCGGCACTCTATTCAGGCGCTACGTTCTTCAGCGTCATCTCTAAAAGGCTCCTATTGATGCCCCCTCTCTTTTTATTTTACTCTTTCTTTTATTTTTTCTCTTTCTTATTTTTCTCTTCCCCAGTTATTCTTGTTGCCCTGCCTTTTGGTTGCTGCCTGCGAAATTATCCTCGGGATGACTTCTTTTCTTCTTCTCTTTCCTATCCCACTTCCCTTGGTGTTCTCTAACATGTAGGCCGTTCCTAGGTCAAAGGGAGCTACTTGTGGGTCCCCCTAACATTTTAGGGGACCCTCCTTGATAGGGGAGGGGAGGGTAACGGTCCCCAATTTTTTATTTTTAAATGAGGAGACTCCTCTTGTGATACTTCGTTCGAAAAAGCATAAGAAAAGAAAACTTTTCGTGCAAATCCGAAGTCAACATCTCAAATTGTTGCTAAATGGCGGCCGGTTAAAGGTCAAGATGGCTGAAAATTGACACCTAGGTTTTTCGTCGATTGATTTGCCTGAAACTCAGTAACAGGGGGTCTTTCAACACGAGGAAAACGAATTTGACATTAGATTTTTAAACAAACTGAAATTGTCAAAATGACGGCTAGTTGAAGTTCAGAATGGCCAAAAATTGTTTGTTTTAGGTATCCGATTTCAAATTTGTTAATCTGCCAAAATATCTCTAGGTTGAAAGTTTCAGGCAAATTCATAGGCAAATAACCGAGATGCCAATAGACCATTGGACAAGGTGCGAATTTAAGCATTCTGATTTAATTATCTTCACCAAAATTTCACGTAGAAGACGATGCGCCCACTGAAAACAATTCATAATGAAGATATTTAATGTTTCTTGATTCGGGAATGTAAACCTCCCTCTCAAGAAAACTCAATAATGCTCTACGTGAGTCAAATCGCGCACTAAACGTTACCATGCTAGTCTCTGCGACATGAAAATCTGGCAACCTCAATCTTGACGCTTTGGCTCAGTTACAGCAAGTTGTTTACAGTTTGAAGAACACAGGGTGGGAAATGAATAGTGTTTGATTGAGAAGCCGGCTGAAACCGTTGTAGTGCACGAGTTGACTCACGTAGAGCTTTGAGTTTCTTGTGAGCGAATAGTTCAAATTTCCCCTCACCAATGTAAAATGAAAACGTCAATATCTTCGTCTGGAGTTGATTCCAGTAATTTTTGTCGCGCAAATCGTGTTCTAAGTGAAATTTTAGTTGAGAAATAGGTATCAGAATGCTTAAATTTGTACCTTGTCTGCTGGTTCATGTTCGGCTGTGTTGATCTCTAACCATTTAAAACATTTTAAACATTTCCGTTTTTTTTCTTTTTTTTTCAAATCTAACATCAAATTCGTTTTTCTTGTGTCAAAATACCCCCGGACACTGAATTTCGCACAAATCAATCAACAAAAACCTGAGTGTCAATAATTTTCGGCCATATTGAACTTTAACCGGCCGCAACTTTGAAACGGTTTCAGATAATGACCTCAGGTTTGCGCGAAAAGTATTTTTCTCTTCGCTCTTGAAAAACGAGGTATCATAAAATGGGTCTTCCCATTTGAAAATAAAATGTTGGGGTCCGTAACCCCCCCCCCCCTAAGGGGCCCCCTGAAAATTTTACGGGGGTCAAGGAGTAGCTCCTTTTGACCGAGTAATGTCCTCTAAGTTTCAAATCTCTACCTCTATTAGCTAAAAAGTTAGATGAGGGGAGGGGATTTTTCTAACACCCTGTATGGGTGGAAAAGAGCTTTTGTCCGGTAAAACCTAGATGTTAGGAACAGAAAGGAAACTTTAATAGGCATGAAACAAATTAGCCCCCATGTAATTTTGGATGCTGAATCGGAAAATGACCTTAGTTTTTCTCCGTCATTCTCAGATTTTCCGGAAAATTGATTTCTCTTCGGAAAACTTCGATTAATACGGATAATTCCGATTTTTCCGGGAAAATCGACCTGATCCAGCGAAACAGAGGTCATTTTAGACTCAGTGCTAAAAACTACCAATTTACAATTAATAGGTCGGAGGCAAATTTAGAAAGCAAACAACTGTGTGATTAGGATTGCAATCGCATGCAGGTGGTGTGAAGAAGGGTTAGGTACACCAAAGTTGGGAAAATTTTCGCAATATCCAGTCATTCGAGGAGAAATCCTGCTACCAGAACACAAGTAAAACCATTGGATCAAATCGGAGGGATTTTAATATTGTCCAGATAGGAAATGCAGGACGTGGAAAGAATTTTGCAAATCAGGCATCTGTTATATCAAGCTTTTATCAAAGTTGGTTGACGAAAACAAATGTAAGAAAATAAGTAAGGGAAGCTGAAAACACTAATCATTATTCCAGGAACGTTTCTGGTGTAGTTTGTTGGTGATTTGAGCGAATCTGTGTGATTATTTTACCTCTCATTTAAAATGATTTTACTCAACGCATTTGTTTCCTATTTCAGATTGCAGCTAATGCACAGCCACCTAAGAGAACTGTCAGCAATGGGACCAATGACTCAATTACATTAGAAGAAAATAATAGTAGCATTATTGACAGCAGTAATAGTTTGGAAAATAGTATTAACTCTAGCAACAACCATGCACCTGTCTCCACGCAAATGACTCAAACCTCAAATTATTGTTTGGAGTTGGAGGGTGAGCTAAAAACAAGGCTCACGACATCAGAATTGAAAATTTCTGAACTTCTCAATGAAGTTCGGAGACTACGAGATATGGTAAATTTTGTTAGATTATTCTCATCTATTCCAGTTGCTCTTCCTATTTGTTCAAGATTACACAGGGTGTTGGTGTTCCAAAAGTCCTGCTCTGAAAGTCCCCCCTCTAACTTTTGAACCGTCCCATATAAATAAACGAAACTTTGAGAATGTTTCTGTCTCAAAGGGAACCATCTTCTGGAGGGCATCGTAGACCCAGTTTGTCATTTAAGGGTTAAAGCTCCAATAACTGAATATCTTACAAAAAAGGATCAGTTTCAAAATGTGCCTAACATAACTTCAAATCAGAGAAATATAAAGGAACCTAGGGAGTCTGCTGAGGTTATGTCCCCTCCCAATCAAGAGCTGCTTACTTTTAAAAAAAATCTTATATAGATTTATCAGCAGATCATAGGGTGGGATCAGGGTCCTCAGTGGACGAATAGTTCTGAAAAAAAATGTCGGACAGTTTCAAAGAAAGAGAATTGAAAGTTATTCTTTAACCAAGTTCCCTATTTGAGTAAATTTTGTCATTATCAAAATATTCGTGATTCAGTTTTATCAGTCTAGAGTTTAAATATTGCTCACTGCTCAGCTGGAACGAATAAGCTGAGAACCAATCATAACCCTTCAAATCTGTAATCCTCTCAGCAAATTTATTGATTTTGAATTTAGATGGAAAACGTTACTCGAGAAAATGTGGAATTGAGAAATGCAATCAACCAGCACAACTTTATGGAAGGCGTTCATCAGCGGGTTGCTCGTGATGATGCCAATCCACCTGTAGAACCTAAGTCTCCCATTTATTCCTCACCACCATTTCAGCGTCCAGTCTCAATGTATGAGGCACAACTTTCAAAAAATCAGGTGAGTTCTTTTTAAATTGGCTTGGTCCCATTTTTTTTCTTTTCAATTTTTCACAAGTCTCTGCTCTGTTTATTATCTTGTAGTCGTGCGTATTCATATTGAAACCTCAATACAAGCCTGTTCAATAAGAGGGAAGATGAATAACCACGGCCTGTTTTAAGGATGTTCAGATCAGGAATTCAAAACCCCCAAATCTGAAAGCAGAAAACTAATACAGCAAAATAGCTCAGAGAAACATAGGTACCCTGTGAAACGAAAGTGATTCCTTTGAAGGATCTGATTATATTCCGGGGGAAAATGTTGAAATATTAACCATGAGATCATGTTTGTACAATGCGGTAATGCAGTTGCTATGTCACATGTATAAAGTGCATACTCATAAATCGAATATTGTATAAGTGTGATATACTGATCTTAAAATAAATCTTTTGATGGGGTTTAAGAGATTAAGCATCTTGTATTGGTCGCATCTGGTCATGTATTTGCTTGAAACGCAAAGACTTTTTCGTTTTTAGTGTATTTTCCGAAGGAAATACACTATTGCGTTCTCCCCTGATGTCAGACCTGGACCAAAGACCATGTAATGAGCATCGATCATGGGTCGTAGATTACGAATATGCATGCCGTTTGAATTCATGTTTATATACTTGTATAAAACTACTACTACCGATACTACTACTATACTTTTTTTGTTTAAAATAAATAAAAAGTTGCGGTTATACAACTCATGAAGTTCGCTTTATTAAACATAAAATAACCATGAAATTAGAATTATACTTAAGGTAAGTGTGCCAGTTTTGGGCACTGCACCAGTTAATGGCACCCTCAGCGAAAATATGTAATTAATAAGCCATGGGTTACCTTTGTGGCAAAGAAAAAATTGTTTCAAAAATATCCACCAGATAGCAGTTCAAAACAACAACAGCTGACAGTTCCAGCAAGGAGGAGGAAGAAGAAGAAAAATAAACAATCCTAAGGAAGTCAGGTGCTGAGAAAAAGTGTGGTTTCCTTAAGTTTCAGGTAAGCTAACTCAAGCTCTAAATCATTTTTCTTATTTTTTTCCATTGAACCTGTTGTGCTGAAAACTTTTTGAACCAGTATTAGTGATATTTTGAATCTAATTCTACTAATTTAATGAGCTAAAATTGATTTTCAGCATTAAAAACAGGGGTGCCCCGAAGTGGTACAATCATTTGCAGCTAATTCCAGTCAATGGCATGGGTGCCCATTAGTGGTTCCATGGAGTTTTTTGAGCGAGCCGATGAATGGCACCCTTGTTACAAACTTTTCCTTTTCAAAAGTTTCGGACTATTGATGAATATTTGCCTGTGTTTTTTACATTTTTGACTTAAAATACAAAAATACTTGAATTATGAAACAAACAGAGTCATCTCAATGTTGAATTAACTCCGATACACCTCAACTTAAATTTGGGATAACCGCATTTTTAACTAAAATACACATTACTTCACCAGGATTTTAAATTTAAATATTCTTTTAACGATTTAAACTCGCCAACTGAATTGATTGCTAAATTTCCTCTTTGTAGATTGCAGTCATGGTCAAAGCCAAGAAGAAATCTAAGGCTAAGGCGAAAGTACGGAAAGTTGTCAAGAGGCCAAAGTTCATGTATAAAGCGTCTGACATGCAGGATGCAATGGATAGTGTTAGAGGAGCTGCAGATGGAATACGCATGAGCTGCAAAGCAGCTGCAAAGAAGTTTAAAGTACCGCGGTCGACTCTACAGAGAAAACTGAAAGATTCCGGCTCCGCAGAGGATAGAAAGGTCGGCCCAGAAGCAGTGTTGGGAAGAACAAATGAGGAGACGCTAGTGCAGTGGGCCTTGCATTTATCTGCGATGGGATTTCCAGCAACGAAAACACAGCTTCTGGATAGTGTCGCGCGTTTGGTGAGGTATGGTAAAATTAATGTCCCGTTCAAAAATGACCGTCCAGGCAGAAAATGGTATGCCTCTTTTCTTAAACGTCATCCAATATTAGCGGAGAGGACTTCACAAAATCTCACAAGATCTCGTGCAAATGTCACGAAAGAAGATCTAATTCAGTGGAGCGTCAAAGTTGAGACGTATTTGAAAAGGAAAGATCTATTTAACATCCTAAAAGATCCAACTAGAGTCTTCAACGCAGATGAGTTTGCGCTATTTTTGAGTCCCAAGCCAGGGTGTGTTCTAGCCAAAAAAGGTGATAAAAATGTGTATTCTGTAGTGAATGGAGATGAAAAAGAGAACCTAACAGTGATGATGGGAGGAAATGCTTCTGGTGCGCTGCTACCTCCACTGGTTGTTTTTCAATATCAGAGGGTACCTGATTCCATCGCCAATTCAGTGCCAGATGATTGGGTGATAGGTCGTTCAGAAACAGGCTGGATGACTTGTCCAGTTTTCTATGAGTACATAGCTAACTCAGTTGTCCCTTGGCTTGAGGCTAATAAGATAAAGCGCCCTGTGTTATTCTTCTTGGACGGCCACGCTTCCCATCTCTCTCTATATGCCTCTGAATTGTGTACAGAAAATGGAATTGAACTGATTGCCCTGCACCCTAATTCGACCCACCTTACGCAGCCAATGGATGTGGCGGTATTTCATGCTTTGAAAGATGTCTGGAAGGAATCAGTAATTGAATGGCGTCTTGAAAATAGCGGCAAAGAATTAAAAAAAGATAATTTCTGTCCGCTCCTTGAACGAGTTATAGAGGAAGTTATGTATCCAGAAATATTACAAAATGGGTTTGCCAAATGTGGTCTCGTACCATGGAACGTTAATGCAGTTGATTTTTCCAAAATTCGGGGGATCCCTGAATCGGAAACAAGCTCAGAACCCTATGCTCTGCGAAATGTAAAAATAACAATCAGCTCAATCGAATCTGCAATTGGTGACCTTAAAGTCAAAGAGTTCCGAAAGAATTTGGAAGCAATGACTGAAAAGTTATCTTTGCCCCCAGAGGACATTAATTTATTTCAGCTTTGGTCAAGTTTCAACAAGAAGTTGGATCAACTGATGACGGCTCAAAAGAGTTTGGATGAGAAACGCGAAGAAGCAAGGTCGAAGGCAAAATTGAAAGCAGAGGCAAAAGCAAAGTCAAAAGCGAATAAAGCTTCCATTACAAGAGCAAGTTCTAACCACTCATCCAATGTTTCATCAGATTTGGATATCAGCGTTTTGCCAATCGAAATGAACTTAAATTCTTTTCCAACTGATATGAATCCTTTCGATTCACCTACTTCAATAAATTCAGTAAACACTTCAACTTCCAAGGTTCCAGATGCTGAGGATTTATCTCTTCTCAACGAATTGATGGAGGGAACCTTAGAGGAAGATCTGATGACTTTAATAACAGCACCAGACAAAGTTCGGTCAGTTGACGTCGAGATCAATGAGCAGCAGATTGATTTATCAAAACCAAACAATGAAGGTAGTATGTCCAAAAATGATTTGGCCGAGTCAAGCACGAGCATTTTACCCATCAGCAATTTGTCCGATCCAAGCACAAGCAATGAGCCCAGTATTGACTTGTTTAAGCCAAGCACAAGCAATGAGCCAATGAATGACTTGAACAAGCCAAGCATAAATAAAACAGCTGACAATGATTTGTCAAAGATGCACGAAGCTACTATAGAAGTATCAGAGAAAAGCCGTGGAAAAGAAAATGAGAACGCCAACAATTTTGAACAAAATTCAACAAACAAGGTCAATCATTTTCATAAAAATATTCCTTCTCCGTTCAAGAAGGCTCTTTTTTGGCCTGAAACGGTAAAGAAAAAAAACCAAAAGAAAAATAGAAGCAGTGAATTCATGCCATCAGCAATAACATCGACCCCTTGGAAAAAGTACTGGCAAAATAAGAAACAAAAAAAAGAAGATGAAGAAAAAGCTAAAGAAGAAAGAAAAGCAATCAGAGAAGCAAAAAAGAGAGAAAAAGAAATGAAACAGAAGGAAAAAGAAGCCGAAAAGGCTGTACCAAAAAAGAAACCGAAATCAAAACCACGTCGTCAATTATTTATCGAATCAAGTTCTAGCGATGAAAATTCGGACACCATAGATTCACCTGATTCTCCTTCAACTGTTCCAGAAGCTGTTGAAACATTAGCGCTTAGTGACTTGAAGAAAAATGTATATGTTATATTTGTTTATGAAGGTGAATATTTTCCGGGCGTTATTTTGGAAACAACTCAAACTGGAGCGAAGGTCAGTGCTATGACCATGGCTGGTCCAGATGGATGGCGATGGCCCGAGAAAGAGGATACGTTTCATTATGATCTAACAGACATTAAAGAAGTAATTGAACCCCCAACTATTCGCAACAGCAGAGGTGTTAGTTGCGTTCCAGAAATGAGGAAATATCGCGTTTAATTTTTTCCGAAGTAGGTCTAACTTTTTTTTGGTTTTTTTGTGATATTTAAGTTACCATAATGGTCTCTCATAACTTACTGAGTTCTGTTAAAAAGTAATTTTGCCAAATACACTTATTATTTTGGTTCTATATGTTCCAGTCATTACATTTAAGAAAGGTTATAACTAAATAATGCACCTGAGACTGATTGCAAGTATATTTTTAAAAGCTAAGTAGGTAGTAAAACTGCAATATTATAGAAAATTCTTGATAAATATGTTTACTTAGTTGGTTTATTTTAAGAAGTTTCAATGTTCCTTTTGATATGAGATTGTTGAAAGTAATGAATTACTCATGGTTTACTTCAGGATTTTTGTATTCAAAGAGTTTATTCTGTTCCACTGTGCATTTCATTTAATTTTTTTGCTGTTTCTTATTTTTGATACATTAAAAAGTTTTAAACAAATTCAATTTTCTTCAATTTAAAATGTCCTACCTCCTAAAAAAATCCATTCTGAGGGAAAGTTAATTCATGCAGAACGTACAAACTCAGGTGAAGAAAGAGTTTTAAGATACATTTAAAACAACCTGTTTTGTTTTGAATTTCACGACCGAATTCATTGCCTAACTGTAAAATTTCAATGGAAAAAAACAATCTGGGTTCCATGACTTAGGGTCCTTTTTCGAGTGAAAGTAAAAATCTTCAGGGGGTGCCATGAACTGGGGCAGTTGGATGTCAATCACTGGTGCATAGGTGTCATTCACTGGTGCATCATGAATTTTTTCATTAAAACCAGTTATTTTGACATTTATTTTTAAGATTAAAACGAATTTTGGTTTTATTCACAAATTAGAAAAGATTTGCTGAAGATTGATTGCAAAAACTTAAAGATTCATCAAGTTTTGAAATTATGAGAACTAATCAAAGTCAACCTCCACCACTAAGGTGCCATTCATTGGCGCAGTTACCTTATATATATATATCTGTTTATTTATGTATGTATTTCCAACTCATCGTGGTTTTTCTGATTTTCGTGGGTTATATTTCCCTCATTTTAAAGAAGTTCCGGGTGAAACTTTTTGGGATGTAAAGTAGCGGAACAGGACTACCATTCTGCGAAAAAAAAACCGAGATCGAAGTATTCCATTTCGAATGGTGGGGGCGAGAAGTGGGGGGAGGTTCAATTTTGTGGGCGCGATAACTCGCGCAAATTAAAAGCTTTCCCCCCGAAATTTTTAGAGAAGGAAGATCTTACTTAGTTCTAGGCTGGTATTGAATTTGAGCGAAATCGGTCGAGCCGTTTAAAAATGGCGAGCTTTGAAAGTTTTGGGCGGGGGGTGTGCGGCAAAAGAGGAGGGAAGCCACACAGTGGGTCACGACCTGAAAATTGGTGGACAAGACGGCAATGTTGTCGCACAGTGGGTCACGAACTGAAAATTGGTGGACAAGACGGCAATGTTGTCGCACAGTGGGTCAAGAACTGAAAATTGGTGGATAAGACGGCAATGTTGTCGTACAATGGGTCACGAACTGATAATTGGTGGACGCGATGGCTTTATTGTTGCACAGTGGGTTACAGACTGATAATTGTTGGACAAGACGGCAATGTTGTCGCACGGTTATGGAGATTCATCCATCGTCATTCAAGCTTGCCACAGCGTTTGTTGACATCTTTTCATATCAGACATTACATGAGGCTTGTTGTTGCAATCTGGTGACATGAAGTCCTTATTCGAATAATCAATGCCTCCAACAGTGTAAACGTAAATCCAACCTCCAAAGATTGATAACTCCCCGGCCCCGCCCCTCCCTTCGGAAAATACACTCTTCCCGCGGTGGACGCGCGGGTCACTTAAAAGACAGAACAACTGAGGCCGGACACTCAAACTAGAAAAAAAATACACTAAAAACGCGCGCGAAGCGCGTGTCCTGGGGGGGCTTGGGGGGCGAAGCCCCTCCCAAAAACCGGCGCGGAGCGAAGCGGAGCGCCGGTTTTTTTAATCTTGAGTATGGTAATTATTTGAAAATTCCTAAGAATTTACTTTTCATTAACCTCCTCAGTCCTCCTATTAATTTAATACATCAAAAGTTCTTAGTTTTCAACCCGATTTGCAAGGAGGTCTGGTACAGAGTAATGGACTATCACAAGGGCCAAGGGGTGTCAAAAAACTGCAAATTCAGTGTCAAGTAATTCAGGCATGACTTCTACAGAGCTACTTTTTTTTATATATCAAGCCCCAAAAATCTACGCAGCTTTCAATGATTGGGATTAGTACATATTATATTGCAATGATTGCCCCAGTGCAAGCACTCATCATCCTTGTAGAGAGTTGTTTAGAAGGCTTAGAGTTTTGACAGTCCCAAATGCATTTATTTACGAATCAATAACAACAGCTTTGAAAAAGGGACATTTAAGTCAAGAGGGCATGTTTCCAACCGACCAGCATGATACAAGGCACAGCTTTCACAGAGAAACCAGTCATGTAACGAAAAAAAATGAATACCTCATGAAAAACATTGCCTTAAACCTCTTTAACGTTCTTCCGGAACCCCTAAAGTTATTACTAAAGAATGAGGGATCAAGAAAATGTAGTTTTGCTCTCTAAGAGACACTTTTATGCTGTCCTAGATACACAGTTAAAGAATTTAATGAACAACCTATCAATGTACCCTAAAATATCAAAAAAGCAAACCTCTCTTGGCACATGATTATACTTTATTTATACAATTTTCTCCAAGTTATGCACTATGTAAATATTCTATTTCTTACAATGTAAATATATTACGTGTACCTAGCCTTAAAAAGGCTCCTATATAAATAAAACCATTTCAATTTCATTCCTATAATGTTGCTGTTTTACTAAGCTTCTTTTACTAAGCTGCTTCTTCTTTTCAGTTGATTGAATCAATGCCTCACTCCGAAGAAGTTGTGAGTAGAACAGACCAAGTTACCAAAAGAATCCAAGAATTATGGCAATCTGTGCAAGGTGCTGGACCAAACATTTCAGCGGTGCCTTGCGCTGAACGTATACGAATTGCTGTCAACGAATTGACATCCATTTTTCCAATGGTTTGTTTCTTTCCAATGCTTATCTATTGTTTGTTGTTCAGAGACTATGTATTTGTCTATACAAAAGTTAATGAGCCGTTAGGAGGTGTATGGATTTGCAAATTGATAACTAATTCTAATAATGAACAAGGGAAGAACGATAGCACCATTAAAAAGTCTTGAAATTACCTCACAAACAAAAAAAATTAAAAAAAATTAGTAATGGAGTCAATCTATTCAAAACGGTCGCTTTTGGGTGGGAATGGTCCCCTGACATGGAGACATCCTATCGTTCAACCTGGTTTCTTCTCTACTGCCCACGTTTTTTCCCATGAGGATTTGGATTCAATTTTTAGATGGAATTATCAAGGCATCCGATAAATTATGGATGGTAATCTGATATCACTGAAATGAAGCACGAATAAAATTACATGCTTAAGGCCGGAACAACATCATAGGCTAAGACAGAATCGATTCAATTTGCGAAGAGTACAAAAGAGGTAACAGCCTGGCATTGGTTCTTACCTTGGGCCACTAGGGTGCGTCAAAAAAAAAAGTTCGAAATGTTCCGCCCCTCCAGGCGGCAATTGATACTACCTGGTTGTAAAACGTTTATGCCAAAATTTGGGCTAATTTCAACCATTTTAACTGGTGCCGAAGGTCAATTTTGTGATGAAATTCTGATTTTTAGGTTACCGCGAGTTTCGGTCTAGATTCGGAGAAAAATACATGTTATTACAGAATTAGAGAAATCAATCATCCTTGTATTTTGCCTCGCTTTCTTGAGAAACGGACACATTGATCATACCAGGGTTGCCACGGTCAGGGAATTCAGGGAAAATCTGGAAAAGTCAGGGGAAAAAAAGTGCTCTGGAAAACCTGGAGAAGTCAGGGAATTTGACCAAAAACAGCTAAAAGTCAGGGAAAAATTGACAATTTTCACTAGTTGCTCAAAATCTTTCTTTTTTTGATTTTGAACTCAATATAAATTGCGATGAAGTGGCATATCTCGCGATGCATTCAAGAGTTAAATTATGCAGCCGTATTTGGTCGCCAACGCAACAAGCAACGCAAATTGGAATGCCCAGTTTTTGTGTGTATTTTTTTTGAAATTTCAACTACTACCGATGACTTACCACTATCCACTTAATTTCTTCTTTAAAGTAATTCGAGTGTCTAGGATTATTGCAAACGCAAAGCATCAAAGTTCTTGAAAAAATAAACCATTTGAAGCTCACTTTAAAAATAGGTGTTTGAAAAATCCTGGGAAGGGAGAGATAAATAGAGAAACGAACACCAGGGAAGACCCTTTTTTTTAGAGTGTTTCTTCAAAGGAGCAATCGTTCAAAAGTTTTCATTTCTAAAACAATTATTGGGTTGCTCAAGAAAGTCAAAAGCATCAAAACTAAAAGAAAAAGTTAAGAACCCTTTTTGTATTTCCTAATGTTCTACAATTAATTTCTGACTCCTTAGCTTAAGCGCGTTTCAAATGAGACGCTATATTAGTGTGATGGTAGCTAGCAAGGTGTTAATTTGGCTGTGCGATCATGGCGCGCGTTCTCAAAGGTTAGGGAATTTCTCCATTTTTCGTCAGGGAAAACCTGGAAAAGTCAGGGAAAATCATTTCCAAATTTTTGTGGCAACCCTGTCGTACATTACAGGCTACCTATTGGTCTTTGGACACTAAAATTCTAGCACCGTGGGACCTTACATAATGATCTGAAAGCCCTCGAAAAAACAGACCCAACGCCTTTCGGAGGGGAAAACCAGGAAATGTCAGGGATAAATCACGGGAAATGATGTTACGGAAAAATCGTAAAATAGTCATTCTTTGCTTCTGAGATCGAGTCCGAAATTTTGACGACTAATGTTGTTCAGGTTTAGAAGGGGCGATTTTGCGGACGAATTTACGCATTGCCCTGCTCCCCTCACTCCTACCCTTCCCTTCAGTGGCGGATCTAAGGAGGGAGGGCCATGATGGCATGATACTAAAATAAAATTACGTTGAAAGAGGTATTACGCGTCAATTTTTAACTTTCAATTAATGCACAAATTGTATGCTAGAACTGCTTAATAATCAATCTGGGAGGGCCTCTTCTCTTTTTATAATCATAATCGATCTTTTGATAATCAATAATATTTCGATAATCGTCCATATTCCGTAAATCGTCAATATTTTGACAATCGTCGATTTTTCGATAATGAATGATAGGTTCGTTAATCAACGTTATATTTGATAATCGTCAATTATTATCGATGCATCGAATTAAGCCGGTACCAATCGAACGGCCTCAATACTCGGGTTCGGTTCACAGGCCTAGCTTTGAGAGAATGCAAAAATGACCTGACCGCAATGATGTCGAAATGCGAATAATCGTTCATCGACTGCAGCTTTCCTTAAAATCATGTTTGGTCCATCAGTTAACAACTTTTTGTTTGTGGAATTTTCTATCTGAAGGTAAAAAGATTTCATTTCTGTTGATGGCTTAAAAGATGTCCTCATGTCCTGCCTATTTGTAACTGGAAATTGGTCTCTGTATCCTTACAGAGAAATACATGGGAAACGGTGAAGAAACCAGACGGAACAGACCTTGTGTCATTGCGATGACCTGGGAGCCGCTTTCGTCCAAGAGCGAGCCTTTAAAAATTTCAACTGTTTGAGCATTTTCAAATTTTCCATGCTCAAATAACTCAGGGAAAATTCCTTCTGAGACATCAGGAACCTTAGTCATATCGATTTACTTACTCTCTCATAGATTGCAACCTTTTGCTAATTTTTACATAGTTAGGATCATCTTTCATTTATGATCCATCATGAGGGAAGTATTTTTTTTTTTTTTTTTTTTTTTTTTTTTTTTTTTGCAGCTTTCTCCCAGATTAAAATGTTATTTCAGTATTCTTTTTATTAATCATACCTAATACATGTTCATGCTGAGCGAGCCTGACTTTCATGGAAGACTGATTTTGATTATACCGCGTTTTTTTCTTTCAGAACCCAAGTGACGAGATTGTCAAAGCAACTTTAAAAGACCTAAACACTATCACAATCAAGCTGCAGGCAGAATGTGCAGCCTTAGAAAACAATTCAGAGCGTATCCGATGTTGTGCATTTAACATGGCCAAGGCTACAAGGCAGCTTTTAACCCGATTTCAATGATGGAATGTTCACGTACCATTAGTAGTTTTTAGTCTGTCATTTATGCCCTTGAAAACGCAGAGGGTCTTGTTCCAATGATCTGAGTGGAACATTGTCTTAAAAGTGGCAAAAGAATTGGAAATGGATTTGGTCTTTATCAGATACAGGGTTATTCAAAAGTTACGCACCACTGGCCATAACTTTAGTTCTAATTATGATATCTATTTGCGGTTTGTGGCGTCCTTCCTCATATCGAGGGGGAAACTTTTTGAGGTACTTTTCAGTTCTTCACCCCCCCAGGGAGAGGGGGGGCAGGGGGCAACTCAAAAATTTCAAATGGCAACCCCCATCATGTGATACATCGTTAGATAGAGCATGAAAAAAGACAATTTTTGGCGCAAACCGGAAGTCGATCTGACCCCCCTGTCAAAAGTTAGGGGGGTCCAAAGGTTATTTAGGGGGTCCGTACCCCCATTTTTAGAGTAGCTTCGGCGGCTCTTGGACATACCGTTTCTCTTTTCAAAGAGTCCTGGAATACTCCAAGTCTGATACCGAAGTCTTCATATTGCCCCCGGGCCACCACAGCCCCCCCCCTCCCCCCCGTAGGGGGGGAATGGGCCTGTTACAATGAAACATTGCATTAAAATGTGAAAAGTCACAGAAGAGCTTCAAACTTAGCATCAAATCCGAGTGGAACCTCTTGCCAATGTTAACGCAAACGCAGCCTGCGACTTTAAAGTGAGTTTAAAAACTCTTAACCCCCTGCCCCCCCCTCATTTTTGGTTGCAGAGCGGGTAAAAACCGAGAAATTCACTACAAATAATGCCCGAAACTAATGTCCAACTCGAGGAGGACCCTTGAAACGTTGCGATCAGTCGGAGCATTGAAATACAAGGACTGCCGTCCCCTTAAAGTACGGAAACATCCAAAACACCCCCCGTTGCCCCCCTCATTTTTCGTTACGGAGAGGGTAAAAACCGGGAAAATCGCCAGAAATGATGCCCCGGTTCTTACCAGCTCTGCAACGAAAAAAGAGGGGGGCAGCGGGGGTTTTATGGATGTTTCCGTCCTTAAAGTGGGCGGCAGTTCCTGTGTTGCAGTTCTCCGACTGAGCGCAATGTTTCAAGGGTTCTCGTCAAGTTCTACAGTGGTTTCGGGCATCATTTCTGGCGATTTTCCCGGTTTTTACCCGCTCCGCAACGAAAAATGAGGGGGGCAGCGGGGGTGTTTTGGATGTTTCCGTACTTTAAGGGGACGGCAGTCCTTGTATTTCAATGCTCCGACTGATCGCAACGTTTCAAGGGTCCTCCTCAAGTTGGACATTAGTTTCGGGCATTATTTGTAGTGAATTTCTCGGTTTTTACCCGCTCTGCAACCAAAAAAGAGGGGGGGGCAGGGGGCTAAGAGTTTTGAAAACTCACTTTAAAGTCGCAGGCTGCGTTTGCGTTAACATTGGCAAGAAGTTCCACTCGGATTTGATGCTAAGTTTGAAGCTCTTCTGTGACTTTTCACATTTTAATGCAATGTTTCATTGTAACAGGCCCATCCCCCCCTACGGGGGGGCTGTGGTGGCCCGGGGGCAATATGAAGACTTCGGTATCAGACTTGGAGTATTCCAGGACTCTTTGAAAAGAGAAACGGTATGTCCAAGAGCCGCCGAAGCTACTCTAAAAAATGAAGGTACGGACCCCCTAAATAACCTTTGGACCCCCCTAACTTTTGACAGGAGGGTCGGATCGACTTCCGGTTTGCGCCAAAAATTTTCTTTTTTCATGCTCTTTCTAACAATGTATCACATGATGGGGGTTGCCATTTGAAATTTTTGAGTTGCCCCCCGCCCCCCCTCTCCCTGGGGGGGTGAAGAACTGAAAAGTACCTCAAAAAGTTTCCCCCTCGATATGAGGAAGGACGCCACAAACCGCAAATCGATATCATAATTAGAACTAAAGTTATGGCCAGTGGTGCGTAACTTTTGAATAACCCTGTATATGGATTTATTCAAATTTGTATCGCATTTAAAATTCCTGCTGTATTCGTTTGAATTTTTGTTGTTCCTATAGTAACATAGTGTACATAGAGTCGTAATGTACCTAAATGAAAGAGCTGGCACTACTTATAAGCATTTTGTAGGTCCCAAATTCCGAGACTCCTGTGTCACGCCAGGTCACTTTTTCACTACTTATTCGATTGCTTTCGATACACAGGGACCCGGCAATTTTATGTGAACAAAGGCTAGAGCAGCTATCACATTTACAGTCCCCGACTATACAGTTGACAGCGTGTGCATGCGCAGAGAATGTTGTTGATTGTACAGATGGACTGTTTGTGTGATAGCTGTTTATGAATTATTGCAATTAACAAATTTCTGTCATAAAAGAGGATTGAATACTTCATTCTTGATAACGTATAATTTTGTGACACACAAGGAGGAATAATGATTATGTTAGAATTGGATTCTAACATAATCATTATTCCTCCTTGTGTGTCACAAAATTATACGTTATCAAGAATGAAGTATTCAATCCTCTTTTATGACAGAAAAATTGGTTAATTGATTGTGTCTCACATGCGATGATATGCATCCCCCAATACTTCTAAGTATTTAAAATGTTCGTTTCAGTGCATATTTATGTAAGATAAAAATATTTTTGTATACTTGTGTGTTTTTTTAAAATAAAATCCATGTTATAATATTGTTTTCATGAACTAATAGTATTTTAAGTATAGTTTTTTTTTGCAATTATAGATCTATTCTGACAACTGAATTTGTATGCGTGAATAAAATTTTAACGCCTTGAAGCTGTAAATCAATGTATGTAAGAACCCTAGTTTCCAAAGTTGTGTTCAATTGCAACTACACGGTAAGATGATTGCCATTGTATCCGAATGTTTTAGAGTATAAGCTGTTTTGCCCAGCTGGGAGGTACCCCCTCGACTTCTGCCAAAGTCCACCTGATTGCTGCTACAAGTTTTGGAAAAAAAATTATTTAAAACGGCTTTATATTAGGGTGGTCCTTATTTTCAACTTTTCCGATTTGATATCGTTTCACTCCCTAAAAATTTTAATAATAGCTAGCAGAGAACGGAGAACAAACGTTTTTTGGATAAAAATAATTATTAATGAACGCCCCTGAGCCCTTCAGTCGCAGCCCACTATGGTCCACAGACTGGATTTAATGGAACTTTATTCGAAAATTCAAAGTACTGTTTTTAAAATTGATGAATTTTAAGATTTTTGGGTCGCTGATTTCATCATACATCTTGGTTTACCTAACAAAATATTAACATCCTGACCGAGGAACTTGACTTCAAATGTAATTTCTGGCGCTTCCAAGACTAAAGAATTTTTTCCCCCTATTCTGATGATCAAGAACACGCATTAAAAAAATAATAAAAATGTCTCTTGGTTGAAATCCAGCGAATTTTATGTATTTTAAGGCGCTAAATCCGAATATGACCTCCGATTTTGTCCATCACCCTTCAATTTTCCGGAAAAGCCGATTCTGCCTGGAAAAATGGGAATTTTTGGTGTTCTTCACTACTGTTGACCCCTGCAGCAATTTTTCTCAGGTAATACAATAGAATTTTAGATGTATTTTTCGCCGCTAAGTCCGAAAATGACCTTTGTTTCTTCCTATCACCATTCACTTTTCCGACAAAGCTACTTTTTCCGATAAAATAAGCCATGGACTGAGTTCATCAGAAAGGAACCAACCAACATAGAGTTGAAACTTAGAAAAAGGGGTTTGAAATTTTATTACTGCATAAGGTTCTAAATAAACTTTAACCCCTCTTTCAACACACTAATTTCTGTTTTTGGCAAGAGAAAATACACGGCCAGTGGAACTAAAAAACATTCTGAACTCAATTTTTTCGAAAATGTGGGTTGGTTCCTTTCTGATAAACTCGGTCCATTTGATGTATCATTGTCATGCATACAATTCATTTCGATACATTTTCCTGGACCCGCTGTAGAGTGGTTCATTTTAAGCTGCCAAATCCGAAAATGACCGTGGGTTTTTTCATCACCCTCCAGTTCTCCTCCGATAATGCCGATTTTTTTCGAGCCTATTGTGAGAAACCTTTCCCTGACTCAAAGGACGATAAAAATACATTTCAAAATGTTCTCGATGTGTGATATTTCGATTCTCATGTATTTTCACTTGCTTAACCCAAAGATGACCATGGAATTTTCCTAGCATCCTTCACTTTCCCAGAAAAGTCGCTGTTCCGTAGAACGAGCTTTTTTGGTATTTTTGCGACGATTTTCCTGGTCTAAGGAAAACGGGGGGTTGTCCGAGGCAAGGGGAGCTCTAACTAGAATTCCCCCTCTGGGGAGAGTTTTCATTTTGCCACCCATTTTTGCTCATAACGTAGATTCAAGGAAGCTGCCAATCTCGAAAGTTCTTGTAAGGAGGGTACTGCTGGGGACCCCATCTCTCCCTCCCCTTACGAGGGGTTAGGCCGCCCTTCTAATAAAAAATGTATGCTCCATCATTTTAGAGATAAACAACTGTACGAAATTACCAATCTTCTCCACGTTATTGGCGAAAAATTGCAGCAAAACGGTCATTCTTGCGGCACAGTTCGATTTATAAAATTTTAATTTTTCTGCAGACCACCCGCGTTATTTTTTTTATAAAAGTGCCAAGTACTCTAGATTGAGTTATGGAAAACCGCAAAATCGTAAGTGGGGCCGTTTTTTTTTATTTTCGACTTTTTCTATTTTTAAGGGTAAAATGGCGGCAAACGCCAATGTGTGACCACCAAAACCCTATCTGGTCAAATCAAGTTAAAATTTTATGTATGTTAGTCCTTGACATGTAAATGGGTACCCTCTAAAGTTTCAAACCGTCCCGGAAAGAACTGCACCCCCATATGCGATGTTGCCAAGTTACATATTCGATAATGACGCGACTGACAGGGCAATGTAGATTTTTAGTCGCGAGTCTCACCAAAACTTATGAAAACCCTTACCATTATACACTGTGAAGATAATTTTAAATCTTATTGGATAAAAATATGCACGGTTGCCATATTTTCGTTTTTTGAAATTGCAAAATTTGATCAGAAAATGTCAATTTATTTGATTTGATTAAAGCCAGTCAATGCTTTTTTTCAGTGACATTATAAATTGATAGACTAGTAATTGAAGAATTTTTACATACAATGAGGCACTGTGCCAAAGTCCCTTAACTTCAATCAGGGAACGCAGCTGATCTATGAAAATAAGTACACACAAATCGACGAGCAGATTTGGTTCGAAAAAAATTCCCGAAGTTATTGTTTCTGACTCAAAGAGTAAAATTTGGACCCTTCCCCCTTAATATCCGATGGAAAATAAGAAAAAATATCTTTTAATTCACAAGTAAGTAGTAAACAAGAACCGTCTAGACTTTGAAGCCCTGACCACTCGAAGTCCAATTAAACAGAAAAAACTTCAAGGTTCACAAATGATATAAGTGTGTTTTATCTAATTGTTCCAGATTTCCAAAAATTGAAAATAACAGCAAAAATATCGTAGTGTGGGAAATGAACTTCCGAGGTTAATGACCGAGATGCGTTAGCTTGTTTATTCCTGTGTAATAACTACTGTGCGAGCGATTTTTCAAGGTTCTCAATTTACCTCGGAATCAAAAAGTAAAATTTGAAAAATTTTTCATTTAAATCTTGCAAAGAGAAGAGAAGAGGACTCCTATTTTGCTCGCTAATGAGAAGAGTACACCCGTATCACCCCCCGTGCGGAGGGCATTTTCGTTGCTGCTTAACAGTTTTTAGCGAACCACCATACAGGATAAAGCGCAATTTTTTTCATTGATGAATCTTGAATTTCCTTTAAAGGTAATTGAAGCTCCGTATTATGGTAATACCGCCGATTAATAAGCATTGACTGGGTTTAATCAAATCAAATAAATTGACATTTTCTAGCCAAAGTTTGCAATTTCAAAAAACGAAAATATGGCAACCGCGCATGCTTTTATCAAATATGATTTAAAATTATCTACACAGTGTATAATGGTAAGGGTTTTCATAAGTTTACGTGATAATTGGAACTCAAAATCTACATTGCCCTGCCAACAGTCTATAGACCCTTTCCGAAACAACGAACTACAATGACTGTGGTGTAAAATTAGCAATTTTTTCAAAACGAAAAGTAGAAAAACAGTATGTACATAATGTAAGTGCGGTATGAGATAACAATTCATGATCCAAGGATGAGGTTTTACATTTTCCCAAATCGTTTAATTTTCAATACAGGAGGTAGTTTTTCTAGTAAAGATACAGGAGACACTTCCACAACAACCAATTCATCCTTACTGAGCCAGTCTAGATACGCTATGTGCTGAAACAATGATAAGAAATTCAAAATAAGATTTTTCCTGCCGTTAATGCAAGAGAAAAGAAACTATTTATAGAGATCTTCAAAAAAAAAAAAAAAAAGGAATACATAAATTTTATATGTAAATGATTAAATGAATTTCATGAAGTGTATAACCTTTCAAATTACTTTTTATATATTTTAAATCTACATTGTTAACTGGCGACGTCTCGGTGGCTGATTGCCACCATCATCAGGCACAAACTAATAATTGCAGAGGTAATAAATTCTTGCTACAATGGTTTCCCCCCTCGCAAAAATAGGGATAAGGAAGAGATGGTGGTTGGACCATACTTGTCTTCATGCTCTGAAAAATTAAGTGCCGCAATAAAACCATTTGGATTATCGCTAGTAACAACAAATAAGTTTAATTTGAAAGGATTCAAATCAGCTCTAAAAACCAAAATCCTAAACGAGAAAATGTCCGACGTGGTTTACGAAATTCCATGCAAAGGGTGCCCAGGGGTCTACATTGGGCAGACATCACAGTATGTGCATAAGCGTCTTGACGGACACAAGTTTAATAAGTATGAAAAAACGGCGCTTAAGCAGCATGTTGAAGGAACAAACCATCAATTTGATTATGATAAAACCAGAGTGCTAAAACAAGAGAAAAATGAGCAGGTCCGTTTAAATTTAGTAGGGTTAAGCATTCTTAAAAATAGCAACGCCCTGAATTCAAGGACAGAATTTTCCCATTTTGAGGATTATTTGGTAGGTACCGATACTTTCTAAATGTTAACCATCAAAATTTTGTCGACCATTTATTAATAGTTCTGACATAAAACAGCACTTAAATATATTAAATTAATAGATGAAGAGAAGATATTTATCAATCATTAATAATAGAGTAGGAGAGGTAGAATAATATATATGTTGATCATTAGCAATAGAGAAGGAGAGGTAGAATAATACAGACATAAAGTAACATAGTTAGTAATATTTAAGTGCTGACATAAAACAGCACTTAAATATATTAAATTATGCTCAGGCATCAATGTTTGTGATGTTCGTTATATTGTAACCATCTTTTCCTTTGTTCCCTGAATGTGTTGGATCGGAGAAATAAGGGTTTTTTATTTCTTGTTTTCCTTGTTTGCACGCTCCTCAGTCTGTGCCTGATGATGGTGGCTATCAGCCACCGAAACGTTGCCAGTTAAAAATGTGAATTTTAAAAAAAAAAGTAATTTGAAAGGTTATACAACTCATGAAATTCATTTAATTATATATATAATCATATATATATGTGTGTTTATGTGTGTGTGTGAGGGTGTGTTGGTGTGTGTGTTATTTGAAAATGGCAATTTTCGGGATTAATGGTGGGAAAATAATTGATTAGAATAGGTTTTCCAACAGCATGAAAGATAAAAAATAAATTGGAACATTGGTGCAGGTTATCTGCGAGCGAGTGCGGTAAATCTAGGAGCCCGACAACAGACCTTTTTATAAAACATAAGATTTTTTGATGAAAAATATCATGTCGAAATCTATAACATTTCCTGTTATCTAGGAATTTTTGATCAACTCCGGCGTGCTGCAATTGTGACTATGAAAATAATCTAAAATAAAAAATAACCAATCATAAGTTGAAAGGTCATTCTCTAAAAGAGAGAAAACTGGGGTTGCCTTGGATTGGGATTTCGGATTTCAGTAAAATATTTAACGAGTATGTGACGAGTTAACGGAAAAAAGATCCTAATTCCGAAAATCATGTTGTTCACGTGACTGGTGCACTTGCAAGTCCCCTTATGAATTTCAGTGCAAGACTGGGGGAGGGAGGAGTTAAGCTCAGGCAAGTGTATTGGCATACTTAGCTGGAGCCAAGTTAAGAGATCTATACTGGTTTGACTCTTCCTTGAGCTTGCCGCCAAATCACATTCATTCGATTGCCTGTGTCATCACATTATCAAAATACTCCATCAAAATGTTGAGGTCAAGTGCTGTGATTGGTCCAAGCCAATCACAATTGGTCGTCGAATAAGCCAATCACATCACCTAACCTTGATATTTTTATGGAGTATTTTGATAGTGCGGCACAGACTAATGAATCCAACTAATAACCCTGCAACATCCTACACGAAACTATATTGCTTTGTGAGGCAAGCACCGAAATGCAATCCTTGTGTCATTTGCTGAACAACTTTCAGGACATAACAAGGAAAACTGATTATTCGGCAATTTGGGGATGCTAATTTGCTTAGATCAACCTAACTGCTCCCAAATGAAAAAAGCACGTATGCCTGATTGCATATACAAATAAGAGGAAAACACTGAAAATGTGGCCAAAATACTGTAGGTGCCAGGTGGGAGGTAATCAAGGTCCACATTATTCTAGAAAGAAGTCAAAGCAGAAAGTAAGTACCACACCTTAAATTTCTTCAAGAGAAAATGAGATGATTCTTCACAGTTTCTATCATTTACTTCATTATCATCATAACCTTCTTGCATCGAGTTGTAAGAATCGTTCAATCGCGGAATTTTGCTCTTGCATTTACTTGGAATCAATCTCTGAAAAAATCGATGCAGCAAAAAAATAAACAAAAGGAAAAAATCATGCAAACACGAGGTTTACCTGAGAGGAGCATGCCCTCTTTTATTCAACAAGAACTGCTAAACTTAACAAAAAAAATACTTAACACTACGATAAGGTAGTCGCAGCTCGCTGGAAAAGATAGATGGCATGAACCAAATGTCTGTTTAACATAAGGTAACATTAATTAGAGAGAATTCAACATTTCATGGCTTTCTTTGTAACCACTATGAAGCTTGTGCCTTTGACTTTCTACAGAGTGTCTCAAAAGTCTGTACTCTCCCTGTTAAAATTTTTCAGAATTAGGCTTTTGAAACGCAACTTAGGGAAAGTTGCTAAGTCAGAAAAGAATACTTTATGGCATTCCCGAAAGACTTTTGAGTAGGGGTCCGCGAAGCGACGATTTTCAAAGCGAAGCAACCGCGAAGCGGACAAAAAAAACCCTTCAAATACGCTGGATGCAACTCGCGGAATTTCGTTGCGGTTTCTCCAGCGAGTCGCGACCCAGCGTGCGGCGGTGGTAAACTTCATTGAACACTGGAAAATACGTGAAGAATGCATTCATTAAATTTTCCCCCTCTCCCTTAAATTTTAAGAATGAATTTTTATTTAGATGCCAGCAGATCTAAGATTTTTTTTTTTTGTCATCGGTTTTGCTTTAATGATCACGGAATGATAAGAAATAAAAACTGTTTTTACTTTTTATTTTCCTTTTAATTTTGTTTTTATATAATTTAGAGTAAAACACAGCAATACCTGCAAAATTGTGGAAAATATAATTTGAAAACCATCGACTTAAACTTTTCAAACAATTTTATTATGATGGAATTGAGGTTAGGAGAAAAGGCGCTTATACCTGGCTTATACGCGGAGCGGCCGCAAGCGCATGCGCAAAGAACCGGTTTACGCGGAGAATCATCCATTAATCATCGGCATTCGGCATCGATTCCGAAAGAGCGCGAAAATTTGAATTACCGAGAAATTTGCGCTTCGCTTCGCTTTTTCCGACCTCGCGCTTCGTTTTGCGAAGCGAAGCGAAGCTTCGTGGACCCCTACTTTTGAGACACCTTGTAGAGGAACATTAGTTTTTATCCTGTCATCAACCAGTAGCTCAGAAATCGCGTAATAGCGTGGACTTTCTAAAAAAATGTCTACCACATCCAACAAGTATGAAAAATAACTCATTGTGTTTGTTCGGAGGGTCTCCCAGTAAGTATATTTTACTATTATTTTGATGTGTAAATATCAACTCAAAAAGGGCGGGCATTATTATAGCAAGAGCTGAGCATATTCTACCAAGATATTATAGGGTTTTAGGAGTTTACTCTATATCTTAACTAGCAGGAGAACTAAATGGACCACAAACCATGCAGGCGAGCCCGATCGAGACTTTTCCTGCTTATCTAGTTAGGCAGCTGCAGCAGCCACCCGTCATCTTCAATTTTTTAGGGGGCGTTTTCCTAGGATTGGGCCGGGGTGGTTATCGCCAGATGGAATAGATAGGGCAAAAATGTAAACAATCTTTTACTGGTCATACTTTTGGTGGGTGCAAGAATCATCGACACAAGTCACTCGAAAATGGAACCACAATTCAATCAGCATACTTTCCATCGACATAGTTTTTATCGATGTATCTTCGATCGACATACATTTCATCGACATTGTTTACATAGACACTTTTTTGTTTGAAAATATCAATTTAAAATCCTTGAAAAAAAAACATTTTTACGCAGACATCGTTTTGATCGACGTCTGGTTCACTCGACGAAGTTCAATCAAAAAATAGAAACGCAATTCAATTGACATTGATTCGATCGACATACTTTCCACTGAAAAATTTTTCATCGACATGGTTTTCATCAACGTATTTTCGATCGACATTGTTTACATCGAAACTTTTTCGCTCTAAAATATCAATTTAAAATCCTTGAAATAAAACCATTTTTACGTAGACATCGTTTTGATCGACGTCTGGTTCACTCTACACAGTTCAATCGGAAAATAGAAACGCAATACAATCGACGTCGTTCCTACCGACACAGTTCGATCAACAAAGTCCGTATTTTTACAGCGATTCATTCGACATTCTTCTAATCGATATATATTCGGCCGACATACATCGTTTCCGTCTACAGCGTTTCAATCGACAGCGTTGCAGTCGACTTAGTTTCGATCACCGTTTCACCCACTCCTTCTAAAACGCAACGCAGCTACGTTATGATGGTTGCATTTCCGCCTTGTGATTCGAACTGCTTTATTCGGTGACTCTGCGGTTTAACTCAGCGTGGTTCTATCTATTTTGAAGGTAATTAATGAAGCAGTGTGTCTTTGCACGCTTTACTGAAATAAACCAGGCAATGATTTATTTGTACTATTCGAATTAGACTAGGTATTCTATTCACATTTAATGACTACGTGAAGATATTGAACTAGTAATGAAATAAAAACCTGCAGTTATGTATCCGTACACCTCTACTAAAGATAGTTCAGAAGCGATTTTGTAATGCGAACAAGTACGTTACTTGAAGTACTACCACAATCATCTTGCTTGACTTGTTTTGTTGGAACAGAATTTATAACAGTACGCTACAAGGCATACATTGTAGACAGATTCCGAAATCTGGACCAATCGCGAAGTGTGGAGACAAAACGAAACGTGTTCAACGCCTATTCGACAAATCCTGAAATGAAAATAAAATTCAGGATTTGTCAAGACAAAGCGCGATTTGGCCAATATCGTTTTGGACAAATCCGAAACAAATTTTCCTGAGTTGATTTGCCCAGACAGATCACAAACTGACCAGACAAATCGCAATTTATTTATTTATCTAATTACTGTAATTAATTCACTCATTTAATTTTAATAGTATACTAATTTAATTTCATGAACTTAACATGACCAAGAAAATTAGTTATGAGTAAATTATCGCGAACTGCCCATCGCGGCAACGTCTACCGGTTGTTGGTAGTTGGGTTTCCTCATGAAATCAAATTTTCGAGTGCACGGAAACATATTTACAGGCAGAGGACGTTCCATAAGGAAAAGAAATAAGTATCCGCTCTTCCAGTCTCCAAGCCTACATTACAGACGGACAGGGATTTTTTAAGTGTAACTGCAAAACTATGTGTGTCTCCAAAAAATGCAAATGTAAAGCTGTCAAAGTTCTTTGCAATTCAAAGTGTCATGCCTCCCTCCCTTGCAAAAATAAGTTACGAGTTATCTGTTTTGTTTTGACTTAATTTAATGTAAGAAGTGGTTATAAAAAAATAAGTAAATACTCATTTTCTTATTCATATTAAATTCATGAAATTAAATTAGTGTGCTATTAAAATTAAATTAGTGAATTAGTCACAGTAATAAGTCAATTCTCAAAATTAAGTTCGTGGAATCCGAAGAATATTGAACTGGCAACACGTAGCCCGACGACACAGACTGCCTATCTCATGCTGTCTTCTAAGGTAAGAAATAATTTCAACTTCTGATTAAATTTAACTTAAATTTTCGGGATTTTTCCAAAACGGTTTTGGCCAAATCACGATTGGTATACATGAACCCCGAATTTTAGTTTCATTTCAGGATTTGTCAAATAGACGTTGGACACATTGCGATCAGTCTGGACACATCGCGATTTATCTAGACACTTCGCGATTTGTCCAAATTTCGGGATTTTTCTACAACACACAGGGAAGCCCAGATCTACCGTACCTGTCAGGCCTTTTTTCGGTTAATTTAGGTGAGACGAAGCCTGGGACCGTGGGGGCGGATAGATAATCGACCTCAAGGAATCCAAATTTCATGAGCCCTTCGGTCTCCCTTGGGGAGTAGAAGGGGGGTCCGTACTTCAAAAGTGGAGCTTTCTGTCAAAATTTTGAAGTTATTTCATCTGAATCAGAAAGTGCGGAAATTTTTGACTAAAATCGCCACCAAGATATCCAAAATCGACCCATCCTAATCCAAAATACTGACCCCTAAGGGTGGGGAACGCAACCCCTTTAAAAAAATACAAGTTCACCCAATTGACCTAAAGACTCCAGAAAAGGACGTATACATGGGCAATTGACCCAAAGAAATATGAATTTGAGGGGCCCATCATCCCCAGAAGCTCTTCTGATAGGGCACAGGGTGTGCCCCATCTTTTGTCCTTTCAGAAATTACTCATATTCTTGACGTCTACAAGCAAATAAATAGGTATATAAATAAAGCCCATATCATTATAAATAAATAAATGAATAAACACAGAAGAAGAATACAATTTTCGCGTCAATTTAATAAATCGGCATAGTGCATCTGCAGTTTTTATTTATTTCGTTTTTTTCTTTATGAAAGGGTTCTCTTAGCTGGGGAAAAACCAGGTTGCCTCCCAAACCTCCGAATTGGCTCCTGACTTGAATTTTTCGGTGTGCCGAGTTGGCTGCCGTCTAAAAAATGAACTGGCAACGCTGTTACCATCAAACGTAACTCCACAATACCTCGTTCCCTAGACAAAAGGCAGCAAAATAAGAAACAGTTCCTAGCCAAAGCGGCATTGACCTGCGCAATGGATAACAACCTCCTTGCTTTCATCAAAAATGTGTCATGCAAATTTTTAGCCATCACATTGAAGAAATAAATTAATGATACGATGTCAAAACTAACTGATTTTTGACACGTTGAGCTTTTTAAACTCTCAAAGTTTACAATTTATTGGTTATTTCCCACTTTTGTTTACTCGTGCTGCCATATCACCGGCGGTACTTTCGATACAGACAGGTGAATCTACAATAATTCAAAATTTAAGGGCAAGGGGGGGGGGAAGCGGGAGGGAAAACTCCCGGATTTTGCTGTTTATTTAAAGGAAGTAGAGTCTGGGAAATTCCTGTTTTATCCATGCCCAGTACCTACAAACTCATCGTCAATTCAACAATTATGTCTCTTTTTCCTCCTTAATCGGGTTGTATCAGTTTGATACTCACTTCTTTTTTTCGCCCCATCTGAAAT